ACAATTTGAGCAGGAAACCACTACCGTAAGCAGGGCATGGACTTTTCAGTCAAGCAAAGCTATGTTCAAATCCCACGCATCACTTATAAGCCAGTGACCCAGATGAGTAACTTCTGTGAGCCTCATTTCCTTACTTATAAGACTGAAGACAGTGGTGGTTCATTGGCCAGGTTGTGATGGGTAAGTGAGCAACATGTAAAGCTTCTCAAACGATGCTTAGAACCTGACAGTTGATCAACAACAAATATTTATTGCACACCTACCATACATTACAAACCAAGTAAGCCTGGTGCTGGGTTAATGTGATTCACTCAAAATAATTTCATTCCTATTCACTGTAGAATTGTTAAAGATATTTAGGCTTTTTGTCTTCCAGTTTCCAGGACCTCATTGGAAAAGAGGATTCCTTGGATCCTGGATTCCTTGGAAAAGAGATCATTCCTTGGATCTGGATAAGTCATATCTTCCACTCCAGACAAGCCTGACTTATCCAGATTCCACTAGAGTAACTGCAAGTCCTGTATTTCCCATTTCAAATGACCTTTTCATTTGACTGATCCCTATAAGTACCCTTGCACTTGCCATCAACCGTGTATCTATCCATACGACCGATATGTATTAAGCACTTACTATGGACCAGACAGATGTTAAGCTTGGAGCAGTGACCCGGACCTAGTGTATCCCTCATAGGCATCCTTTTGGTTCTGGAAGCATGGCCCATGGGAGCCACATCCCTGGAATTAGCCCTGTGGCAGCACCAGCATCATGAAGAGAACACTGCAGTTCATCTCTCTAAATCCCAGTTTGCAATTCTTGGAATCTGCAGAGTACTGATGTCACTTCAAAGACTGAGCAACTTGAGATTGAAAGCCAACCAGTCATGTGACAGCAACCATGTAACTGAGCTGAGAACACTCCAGTCTTTAGCTATTGAAACATCTTAAATACACTTACTTCAACTCAATATTTGAGCATCTGGCTGAGATTTTGCCTCACATAACCACTAGGGGGCATTTAATCTCTAACTATATTCTGCAATAGATTTGCCAATAGTGTTGGGACACCATCAGTACTGTGGGGCAGGAGTGGAGGGTGGCTAATATAGGTGGAGTGCTTATTAGGTGAAATTCCAGTAGATCAGTACTGAAAATAGGATGAACAGAATGAATTCAAGCATAATTCTGAAGAGGTAGTGAATTATTTATCGCTCCTCAAATGTACATATGTAAGTAGTCCACACCACTAAGGAAGGAGATAAACCAGTTTTTAGCGTATGTCTACTATGTATAAGGTGCTAAGCTAAAAATCTCCACCTTCATCATCTTATCTACCTACCAAAACTATCCTGATACAGGTTTTGTTTTTAATCCTTATTTTATAAATGAAAAGATCAGAGAGGTTACCACTTATGACCTATCACACATCTAACAAGCAGCAGAGACTCTGAGCCCAAGTCAGTCTAGTTTCAAAGCCTACCCTCTTTTCTTCTATGCAGCTCACCTGGTTGTGATGTTCCATCTCCTCTGAAATTGTTTCCTCAATTCCCATTACCGTAACTCTCCAAATTCCCATGTTGCCCTGGGATTTGAGTGTATTTGTGTGTGTGTGCGTATTTGTGTGTGTGTGTGTGTGTGTGTGTGTGTGTGTGTGTGCATGCACACATAAGAATGCTATGAATAAATGAGCCTACAGCTAAGTATTTTCATACTTAGTGACCCTTATACTATTTGATAAAACAGAATTTAAACTTGACCGAGTATAACTTATACCCTCCACATGTTTTATTTTTTCTTGTAGCACCAACACTTTACCTTGTGTCTAGCACATAGTAAACAATTAATAGATGTTAGATGAATTCATAAATAGATAAATAAACAACGCTCTCAGGAAGACCGCAGAAAGCAACAGCAGGAGCTCCCTGCATCTGGACGCTTCCTGAAACCTATGAAGAGAATGCGAGATTCTCTTCCAAAAGAAAACTCCAGAGGGAGTGGAGGGGGCCTGATTTCATAGGATTTACAAAGCCTGCCCCAGGGACATCAAGGAGAATAGATCCCAACCTGTTTACAGAGTTCCTTGGACCTACCAGCCCAAAGCAGATTTACCTCAAACTCCTAAGAAAAAGGCCCAGTCCAAGTAAGCACTAGCCATGAACTTCCCTCTTGGCACTACTTTTACTGTGTCCCATAAATTTTGGAAGCTTTTGTCATCTTTGTCATTCAATTCAAAATTTTTTTTGATTTCCATATTGATTTCATCATTAACCCAAGGATCATTCAGCAGCAAGTTGTTTAATTTCCATGTATTTATGGATTTTTAAGAGTTCCTCTTGGAATTTATTTTTAGTTTAGTTTAGTATTTTAGTTTTAGTTTATTACACTGTGATCTGAGAAGATACAGGGTATGGTTTTAATTTTTCTAAATTTGCTAGGACTTATTTTGTGGCCTAACACATGATCTATCTTGGACACCATCCCATGTACTGATAAGAAGAATGTATATTCTGCGCTTTTTAGATGAATGTTCTGTAAATGTCTGTTAGGTTCATTTGTCCTAGAGTCTTGTTTAAGTCCATTGTTTCTTCCTTGATCTTCTGCCTTGTGATGTGTCTAGTTTTCTGCCTGTGGAGTGTTGAAGACCCGGCTATTATGATGTTGCTGTTTATTTCTTTCCTTAGATCTAGTAGTATTTGTTTTATAAATCTGGGAGCTCCTGTGTTAGGTGTATAAATATTTAGGATTGTTATATC